GTGTCAGCCTGGATTATGTGTCCAATTCTCTGGATTCAGAGTTGACTTTCTGACTCAGAGCGTTTTCCAATGTCTCTGTCTGCTCTTTCTGCAAATCATTCCCTTTCAGGTATTTCTCCAGTTCCTATTTGGAATTCCCAGTTAATCTGCTCCCACTGGCCTTTCAGGCAGCACATTACAACAACTCACTGTGTAAAAACAAAGTCAACCGCATTTCAATTCTCAGTCACTTCATATTCATGTAGCCTGGTCACCGACCCTCCTGCCACTGGAAACTGCTTCTTCTCATTTGCTCGATCAAAACATTTCATGATTTTGAACATCTCGACCAAGTGTCCTTCTAAGCTTCCCTAGGTAACTCAGCCCCAGCTTCTCTGGTCTCTGACGTTCCTTATCCCTGTCTAACCTCTGGGCCATCTCCTGGCAAGGGCTCCTGACTAGCAAGTCTGTTTAAGGAACGTGACAATGTAAGAATTAGGAACAGGTGAAGACCATTCAGCCCTGCAAACTTGCCTCACTATTCTATAAGATCATGGCTGATTTGCCCCAGGACTCAACTCCATTTTCATGCCAGCATCTCATTGTCCTCAACTCCCTGATATTTAAAAGATCTTTCTACTTCCTCTTTAAATACTTTCAGTGATCGAGCCACCACAATGCTTTGGGTTCGAAGATCAAGAATGCAGACATTCACTATCCTCTGGGAGAAGAAATTTCTTCACATCTCAGTTTTAATTGGGTGCCCCTTTATTCTGTAACTGTATCTCCTAGTTTGAGATTTCTTCACATTAATGGAAACATCTTCTCAACATCTACATTGTCATGTCGCCTCAGAATCTTGTATATTTCTGTAAGATCACCCCTCATTCTTCCAGACTCGAATGAATAAAGGTATAGCCTGTTTACCCATTCTTGATCAGTCATCTCTCCCATCCCAAGAATCAGTTGAATGAACCTTTCTTGAACTGCCTCCGAGCCTAGTATATCATTTTGTAAATATGAGGACCAAAACGGTACACAGTACTTCAGGTGCGGTCTCACCAACACCCTGTACAGTTGTAACAAGACTTCCCTATTTTTAAACTCCAACCCATTAGCAATAAAGACCAAAATTCCATTTGAATTCTTAATTACTTGCTGCAATTGCATGCTAATTTTAGTGTGTTTGATGCACAAGAACATCCAGATCACTCTGTATTCACCGTTTTGGAGTCTCTCCATTTAACTAATAATCTGCCTTTTGATTCTTCATTCCAAAATGCATGATCTCAAACTTTCCTACATCAAATTTTGCCAAGTATGTTTTTCCCACACACTCAACCTCTCTGCATCCTCTTGCAGATTCCTAATGTCCTCATCACAACAAGCCCTCCCACCTATTTTTGTACCGTCAACAAATCTGAATATGTTACACTCTTCACGCTCCTCCAAGTTGTTAATATAGATAGTAGTAAATATACCAATTTAGTTTTATAATCATTTTCTCCCTCTTTCAGTCCTTTACTCTCCTCAACCTTTTACAATTATTACTAACTGCTGCACACTTCTGTCACACTTTTATTATCGTTCATATCTTTCACTACCCTGCACCTCTTCTCCCTGTTTCTTCTTGAATTTTTAAACTTCCCTTCAATTGAACCCTACCCACCGCTAATTAGTCGAAAGCTCTGTGTTCCACCCTAGTTATATAGTTCACCAGGACCTTGGTTCAAGTGAAACCCAGTAGAAGAGCTCTCTTTCCCCAGTACTGGTGCCTGTGCCCATGGATCAGAACCCTGCTCTCCCACACCAATCCATTTACCTTCTTTTCCAGAGAGGAGGATGTGGAGCGGAAACCTGGGACACCAGGGACTCCAGGATGTCGGGATTTACAAGCAGCTTTGCAGAGGTTATCTCTGAGGCAACAGGCCTCATCAGAGAAAACATTCTTCGATCACGAGCGTGAGCAGAAACTGAAAACACTGACTGATGAAGGGCCACTGTCCAGTGGCTTGGTCACTCCAGCGGAGAGTGTCCTATCAACGGGCACCAACTATTCTGGGAGTTCAGGAACGACTGGATTATCGGGCTTTTCTGTGAGTTCCCGACCCAACTGCCCTGATAAACTGAAAATTGTGAAGCCACTGGAAGGTGAGGCCACTGACCTTGACATTTGACCCTCTCTGCTCCCTGCCCACGTATCCATCTCTCTCTGTCCCTGTCTTTGTCTATCCCTTTGTCTCTCTAACTCTCTCCAAGTTTCTCTCGCCCTCTCTCTGTCTTTCTTGTGCCCAGTCCCCCTCTGTCTCTCTATCCCTCACTATCGTTGCCTCGTTCTCTCTCCTTCTGCCTCCGCTGTCCCTATTCCATCTCTCCATCTTTCTCTGCCTATCTATTTCTCTCTCTCGCTCTCTGCACTAGCCCAGTCTGGGATTCTGTGCTCTGTGCTATTATCTGACCTCTTCGTCTCTCCTCAGGTTCAGTGACTCTCTATCAGTGGCAGCAACTTGCACAGCCCAACCTTGGAGGGATCTTGGAACCCCGGCCTGGAGTCCTCACCAAAGATTTTCAGCAACTGGATATTGACACTGGTGAGGTGTACAACCTGAACGACTTTGAAGAAGACGAGACAAACCATCCGTTATTTCAGGAGCTCATAACATCGCCAACCGAACCCCAAACAGAACCCACTGGTAAGAAAGACTCAAAATTCTCATCCAGCCCACACCCCTCACTGTAACACACTGATATACCCCACACCCCTCACTGTAACACACTGATATACCCCAC